GTGGTGTATTTTTGTCAAATGCCTTTGCATAGTCTATAAAACACAGGTACATATTCTTCTTTATTTGTAGATTAATAAAAATGAATAAAAAGAGGCAAATAATGGAAATTTAACTCTTAAGCAAATGTATAAGAAGATTTTAAAGTAGGTACATCTTTTAAAAGGAGTTTAGTATATTCTGACAAAGTGATCATAACATTGGTTTCTAAATAGGTCTTTCAGACTGTAGTTATATCTTCATTAAGTTCAGGTAAGTCCAGCACTTATTTAGTTAATTAAGTTAGATAATAACAAAAGAATACCACATAACAATGCTTAGGTAACAGTGGCTAAAAATCCTGAAAAACTTACAGAGGTTATATTTTTCCATCAAGACAATGAATGCACTTGCTCACAGCTTCATGTCCACACTAGATGACTGAAGCCTTAAACATTGACCATCCAATTTTAATTTCTTTTTGTAAATAAAAATGTTCTTAGCAAGCATAAGTTACCAAAATGATGAGCTCATTGCATGCTGCTAGGTAGTTTTCATGTTCAATGGGAAAACTCTAGCATGATTCTGACACTATTATCACTGAAGAAATACATAAAGTATAATATAAATAAAAGTTAACAATTAATCCAAATCCATCTTAGGCTATGGACATTTCAATTTACTGTTGGACCATTGTTTAAGTAATCTAAGTTAACCAACTTTGTTACCAAGTAAAAAAGAAAGAATATTTGATGATAATTTTCAGGCATATTAAGTCCCAGAAAAAATAAATAAATAAAAATTGAAAATTAATTTCTCTAAATTCTTTAGACTCAGTTTGAATTGATTCAACAGATTAAGTTCAAAGGAGAAAAATAGTAAGCTTTTTTAAATTCCTACAATCTTGATAATTCCTATAAAAATTTAATTGAATGACTTTGCAATCAATAGTGCTTCCTGAGCACAAAACAAAATTAAAATAGACATAATAAATAAGTAAATGTACAAACAAAAATACAAGTATCTATAAATGTAAAGCACATAAATTGACAGTAGTTTGATCAGTTAATTTGCTTAATTTAAATTGTTAAACCTCTCAAGATAATCCAATTAAAAAATAGTGTGAATAATAATGGAAACCTAAGTGCTTACAATACCTAATATTGATAGAGTACAAGATTTTAGTTAACCTAAATAAAATGTACAAGAACAAGGAAAAATTACATATAAATTTAAATACATTATAAAAAGTAAGAGCATGACAAGTAATGTAATATCAAATTTAAATTCAGTAAATCTGAATATATAAAAATAATATTAAAAAACAAAAAAAAAAGGTTTATTGATGATAAAGTGCATAGAACTCAACTTTAGTACAACAACAATAACAAACAATTGTAGCAATTGTACTATGGACACAAGTTGCACTAACTGCCCAAGCAGTAACAAATTAACCGTGGCTAGCCAGCAGACTAGATGACGCATTCTTGCTAAGCCTCAGAAATTGGAAAATTCTATTCAAGGAATTAGTGATAAAAGAAGTCCAGACAAAGGAAGGACAGGAAGGGCAGCAGTTTGGATTAAAGTCAATCTGTCAAATGCAGATATATACTGATATTTCTCTTTGTAATCAATTAACCAAAATCAGAAAACACACATCTATAAAGTGCTTGAAAGAAGCAAAGTTGACACTGTTTTTAAGAGTGACTTAGTTAAATCCACTGATTATGCTACAAAGGATTGTTTTAGTGCAGCCAATCATGATTTTATATCAATAAAATTATGATTGGCTGCACTAAAATACATGACCATTAATGTTTTGCAAGTACAAGAAATTATAAAAATAATGATTTATATAATGCAAAAATATTGGTTCCATAATTTATTTTATGTAAAGCTTAGAAAATTTTGAAAAAATTCTTTATAAAAGGATTATTAATGTTTTTTTCTTTTTGCTTTTTAGCACACAGAGTCTATTTTTCAATGTGTAAGCACGAATATAGAAAGACAACCATTCTTGATTGATGATGGAGATGAAAAGTATGATAGTATGATTTCACACATGCAGATATGATGGAACATTGGAGTACATGTAGCAAATTTCTTAGGTTCATCCTAAGTGCTGAGCTGATGCCAATTATAAATTAAACTAAGTTAAACATTTTAAATCAGCACAATAAAGTTTTCTTAGTCAACAGTTTTTTTTTCATCATAAACCTGGAAAACCATTATGATAATAAAGAAGAGGTTCATTGATTGTTACTGTTCCCTTCTTTGGGGCACTTTTCAAAATCAAAATATAGAAACATTTCAATATTATCCAGTAGTTTAGAAAGATAACCAATTTATTGCAGATAGGTCAGCCAATATTTTGTTCTAATATTTCAGCTGTAAAACAAACTTTCAAACTTCAACAGCATGGTACAGTGAAGAAAGGAGAAAAACAGTGAAATACAATTAATGGAATTGTCCTGGAGATTACACTGCTACTGATAAAAATAAGATATGAAGGAATAATTTGAAAACAGCTTTAAAAAGTTGGTCAAAACTTTAAGTAAGATAATTGCAAATAGAATTCACTTGTTTTAAGTAAACAAATTGCTGAGGAGAAATTTTCTTTGTTTACTTTATGTACCTCATACCAAATATGTAAAAATAATTTTATGGCTAAAGATAGCTATATATGGTGTACATGGAAGTAAAGAGAAATTGAAATAAAATTCAAAGAGTCATCTTTGCAACTGTGCTAATCTATTTATCCATACAACAGCCAAAAGCACTCATTCATAGTGGAATAAAACATTAATCAATGTTTGTGCAAACAACATGTGAGCAAGGTAGGTAACAGAAAAAGATAAATCTATTGCAGTAGCGACAATACAATCTGACAAAATAGGCAAATAAGAGACAGAAAAGATAGATAAAAAGATAAGATAAAGAAAATTAAAAAAGAAAGAGCAAAGATATGATTTAAGAAAAAGAAAAATGGGTATGCAAGTGAAATGGTAAGAAAGAGAGGAAAAAAGAATAAATGTAAAATAAAAGTGAAAAGAGAAGTTAGAAAGAAGCAGAAAGGGAAAGAATTGTAAAGACAAGAAAGTGAAAAGAAATAGAGAAGAATGAAAGATGAACAATCATCTGTAGTTTGAGAAGCTTAAACTTGTTTACATTATGTAATGACAGAAGAGAAGGAGAGTGAATTCAATAAAAAAAAAAGTCAGTATATCAAATAGAATCATTTGTAGCAATTAAAATCAATCAATAAGAAAAATAATAAAAAAGTTGCTGAGTTGTGTTGATTGAAAAGATAGCAGTAGTGGCTTAAGCAGAAACAGTACAATTGCAAACAGAAGAAATGACAATGTGATGCAGAGTGAAAAGAAATACTAGCCATAGTAAAAGGAGGGACACCAACCACAGACTAAAAGAAGAAAGTGAAGAAATGATGAGATGAAAAGTAGAGAAGATGGATTGATAGTGGTAGGGTTTAAAGCCTTTGCTAACTCCTCATTGCTTCTACTGCATCAAACTAAGCATTTGAATATCTGCTTCAACAACATATCAGCAGACAGATCAATGAACACGGCATGATCAGGATGTTGATGATGCAGTGGTAGTGGAAAACAGCAGCAGCTGCCATCCTTGCTGTCGCGTCAAATATCAGCGACAGTGTGGTCATGAGGAGGTGGATATCTGTGGTGGTTGTGGTAGATGAACAACATAAACAGTGGTATTGCTTCTGCCATACCCCTACCCACAAGAAATACAGGTGGGAGTAAATGTTCAGTTTACAAGTTTATAATCACCACAATCAATGCAATAGTAAAGACCCCCCCCCAAAAAAAAACAAATAAACAACCACAAACACACACACAAAGTGAAATGATTTACAATTAACAAAGCAAAAAATGCATTTATATTTGCTTTATTACTCTTTTCATCATTCTCCAAAATAGTTGTAATTTAATGAGAAATATTTTCATATATCTTTTTTTTTTAATTTTTAAATGTTGTAAAACAATTAGTACAGTAAAATAAGTATTTAATTCACTTGATTATAACACTTACATCTTCTAATCCTCTTCATCATTAACTGGTAATATTACTGTCATAAAATGATGATGTAGCTAGAAAGATAATCCATGACAGAAATGTGTGAACATCCATAGAGATAGGTATATTCACCAGCTGATACACAACCACCTGAATCAAGAGAGCTCATATAGTTTAGAGCTGCCATAAGGATGAGCAAGTATCAGCCTTTATTACATCAAATCTATGTTAAATACTTTATATACTATTTTGGTTATATTTGGAAAAGACAGAAAAACAACAAACTCTTATAATCAAAAGAATGTTTCTTTTTATATATGGAATACGGAATAATGCATTGCATAATAACTCAAGATATACATAACACAGAATAAAATTATGAAGTTACCAACAAATCTCAATAAATGATATTAGAAATTTTCAGACAATTATGTTAGAAAAAGATTTGCACAGTAAATTTATTCTCCTATTTAAAAAGAACATTTCAGTTGACCCCCTACTTCCACAACAATAAATACAGGAATCAAAACATTTAGTAAAGAAAACAATTTAGTCTTTTTGAATGGAGAAAATGGTAGCTCATTTAGGAGACATTAATAGAATGGATTAAAGGTTTTACAATATGCAAACATATTTTGGTGAGGATCTTAATTCTTGATGTTTACTCTTTTAATGTCAAGAATAAGTTGAACATGATCAATTTAACAGATGATGGTAAAAATCTGAACAACTTTTTCTCTCTATAAGTGATTATGTTTAGACCATTCTAATGTTAAGAAAATAAAATATAAAAAGATTCCATTAAAATATTTTGTAAACTTGAAAGGCAAATTATGTTACTCTCCACTTACTTGCCCAACTGCTGACAGGTCATGCAACTTGTTGGTCCAGAAGCACCTTCACATATCGAGGTCTTCTGTATAAGTAGCCAGATTGAATGCATTGACAGTTTGCTAAGCCTGTTGTGTAGCTGACAGTACCTAGTATTCCCCACCGTTTACCCATCTGAGTACTGACCTGGCTCAATGTTGCTTAACTTTGGTGATTGGAAGAGAACCAGTGTTTCAACATGATATGGCTACTAATATTTAAATTAGTGACAACTGAAAGTTGACTATATATCATACAATCTCTTGTCCAACATAAAAATCATTTTTATTGTTTGTGCATATATGGTATTGTCTGAAGACAATTTAAAAGTGAGATATTTTAAATGAAGTGAAACAGAAATAAAGAAGCAAAATTTCTGCTTCTTTCATTGTTATTGATAATTGGAAACAATTGAATAAGTGATGTTATAAGAGCAGCAAGTACCAGTAGACAATCAGAACCAAAGAACCAAACTTGATCGGTTTTGATAAACTGATTGTATGAAGGGAATCAACTAATGCTTCATTAATGCTATAATGTATCCAATTACTTTATCAAACAGCACTTGCCTTTTATTTAGCTTTTGATTCACAGTACTATGTTGTGAAAACATTACTGGTATCTCTTTAAAAATAAGCCTGCAAATGAGGCAGCTACATTTACAATGGATGTCTACAGATAAAAGAATTCAGCAGTAGAAGTGTGTGCATTTAACAACAGTTGAGTAAATTTGGAAATCAGAGAATAAAAAAAAAAAAAGAAAAAGAAAAATGAGGAAACTATTACAAATATGTTTCCTTTTCACTATACTTTAGTTTTAGGTGTCATTCCAGTAACATGATCTAGAAAAATAAATTTATCACATGTGTACACACACACACACACACACACCCACACAAAGGGATGCTGAAAAGTCTTCAGCCCAACCCACTTCTTAAAATCACACTTTTGATGTTTCATCATTGAAACACTGATTTTGTGTGAAAGGTCTGTACCTTTCAGTATCCCCTTTGTGTGTGTGTGTGTGTATATATACATACAAATTTGATCCTTAATATATAAGAAAAATATAATGCATTTTAGTGTTGATGATATGCCAGATGTACATAAAATACCATTAGAAACAGAAAGTAAAAGCAAAAGATAAGGGTTAAAAGAGTTAAGTACAGTCTTTGATAATAATAAACTGAAGAGTAAACAGCTGAATGTATTACAGTGATAGTAAGACAAAAAAAAATTATGTAAATCAGATACAACTGCCAAAAATTAGTGGGATGCAATGGTGTATAATGAAATATATTACAGAGGTCAGCATAAGTCATAAGGAAATCAAACATGAGGTTTCAGAGTTAAATTAATGAACAAATTCCTAAACAGAAAGGGTGCATAATTGCACAAAAACGTATTTGTTCCCCCAAAAAAATTGAGATATAAAACATATTACAAATATATGCACTGTATCTGAAAGATCTATATTTTAAGTTAGTTTTATTGCTATTGTGCTTCTAAGTGAATGTGACAAAGTTATCGATGTACAAAATATTTCAAATAATTCTCTCTAAATAAACAAAAAAAAGAAGAAGAAATCACCTGTAAGAATAAGTTTATATTATAAGTAAAATATAACTTAAACCTTGTATTAATATAATGTAAATAAAAGAAACAACTTACCTTGAATTTTAGCCTCAGGATAATCTTGATTGTAATCCTCCAACGTTTCAAGTAATTCCTTATTCTCAAGCTCTAAACTTTCTATACGTTGTGCTGTCTTCTGGAGGACTATGCCATGTTCAAGACATGGCACTGGATCTGAAATACAAAAAATATGTTAAATTTAGTTTTGGTAAAAGTACAGTAGAAGCACAAAGAATGTTAAAGGTATTTTGCTTGAGAAAAATACACTTAACTAGTATCATCTGCAGATAGTTGAATCCTAGTCCAGAAAATAAAATACATAAAATGTGTCAGTGTAGCATATCTGTGCCAGAAAAATGATGGTGAGATAAAAAATGTTATTTATATAAGGATATACATATGTATGTATAAGTATACACAGAGGGTTATTGGAACATAGAGAGAGGAATCAGCAAGTAGAGTTCAAATTCCAGTTTATAAGTTCTATAGCAAGTTGGCAGCTAGTCTAGGAGGAAGAAAACTCTGAATTTAATGCCTGACTTTATTCATTATTCCAGAAAGGTTAAAATCTGAGAAGTGTTGCTTTGAGATTTCATGATTCACTGTGTAACATTTCTCTGTTATCAGTTCTTCTGAAAAGTATAAGTGGTTTTACAAGAGTTTACACCACTTTTATTATCTGTCTTGGTAGTCTACCAGTTCAGTTCTAAACTGAACTGTTGGGTTTTCATATGTTGAAATCAATGAGGGAGTTCATTATTATTATTATATATAAACTTTAAAAGCTTCCACAAAGTTAACAAATAGACTGAAATATATTTACTAGTGCTGCAATTTAAGATTTACTGATAATGATAAAACCAAATGGTTTTGAAACAGGAAAGTAAATTAAATGATATTTGAAAGGGAAAAAAAGGTAACAATTAATTTCTTACTTGCGAACAGGTGTTTATCCATGTGAGTAAATAAATTTTTCAATTTTAAATCAATCTCTTTCATCTGGAGGGTCTGTCTATGAAACTCTATAGAGTCGGGACACTGAAGGTAACATCAATCAGCTAAATCACAAATTTTATATTTGTATTAATCCTTATATATATATATATATATATATATATATATATATATATATATATATATTATGTTGTTTTTGGATACTCATGTTTGTGTAGATGCAGTTTTTAATAAGTACTTATGTCTACCAATCTGCACATTTGAGAGACTTAAGAAAATAGAACATTTATTTTTTCTCTCAAATGTACTGACTGGTAGACATAATTTACACTGTTAATAAAAACAAGGTGTCTACTCAACCATGGGTGTCCACAAAATAATGCTTAGTGTAGCAGAAAATAACATTGGATAAGAAATACAAGATTCCTTAGAAATACTCACACACATACATAATACACACACACACACACACACACACACACACAATAAGCTAAATGTTTAAGGACACCCACTGAATTTTAAAGAATCACCTAAAAATTGAAGGTTGAATGTCCTTTTCAAAACTAATTTACTTGAGCACATTGGCCTGGGACTTTTCTTCATGAAGGATTTTATAAAATATTTATTATTATTAATGACGACAACAGAATTAACCCATTGCTGTATAAGGTTTCCTTAAAATTTTAGCTTTTTTTTTACCTAATCTACCTTCCTAGTTAATGATAATTTTAGGGGCTGGTGAATTTTAAAATTTAAGTAAACCCCTCTCTAAAAAAATTGAACACAATAAATTGATGGGTTAAATAGTTTCAGCTTCCTAGCTTAGTAGGAGTTAATTAAACCAAAGAAGGTATAAATCTTCTTAATTATTAAATTCAGAGGGTGACCCCAAACTTTTGGTCTATAGTATGTGTGTGTACACACACACAAAAAAAAACTACTTTGGTTCTTACTCAAATGCAAAATGTCCTAGTTCTTTATATATGGAAAAGAGAATTTATTATTTCTCTTGTTATCTATTGGATGGATTCATAATGTGTAAAATTATAATATTTGCTACAGATTTACTTTCAACAATAATATTAAGAAATCAGAGGTTCATTAGCTTTTTAAATGTTCTATTTGCAATCCTTTTGCAAACAAGACTTTCATTTTGGTACAAGGACAACATGAAATATTCTAATTCTTAAATGAAAGGAAAATAGTTTATTTCAATTACTATATATTTCAATTTTACAGGTTTTAGTTTTCTTTTTTGCCTTTTACTTGTTTATTACTAAAATTTATATAATGTTTATTATTAAAATGTATTTGGTTTTACAGGATTATTTTTCATGTTATTTTGAGAAATAAAAACGCACAACTGAATGTTCAAGCAGTGAGTTTGGTGATAAAAAAGAAAGAAAAATGACTCTTTGCAAACTATATACATTTTAAAGAAAATTATTAAATGAGACTGAATAAGAGAAAGGGTAGAAGAAAGAGATGAGAATAGAAGTAAATCATAAGAAGAAATGTAATAATACAAAAAGCAACAACAATTAAATTTCCTTTGTACAATCCAGGCTTAAATATTTTTAAAAACACAAAAAGAGTGATTAAAGACCTAATTCAATCAAATAATTCTGAACTTAAGATAATCAACTACAAAAGTGAATGAAACAAAAACAGGGAAATATCTGATCAGGTAATAAGAATTTTTCAAACTGGAAACAATCAGTTTGATATACCATTACACTTTTACATGCTATGAGTGCTACCAATAACATTTATTTCTCCTTATTTGCACTGATATTAACATTGGTAATACAAGAAACTAAAGAGAAAAACAGTGCATTCTAGATATTTGGCAGCAGATGATCCATCTGATTGCTTTGTGACAGACAAATAGAATCAAACAATTCTATATTCTGAGAGATTTCTTATCATTTCTTTATATTAGATGAAATTCCAGAAAAAGGAAAAAAAACTTGCTGTAATCTTGAAACAAATCTCTTTGGTTTAAAAAGCTGTGTAGAGGCTCCTGCATGTAGAGATTAAGATAAAGATTCAATATTTAAAAAAAGAAAAAACAAACAAATATGTTTGATATTATCCAAAATAATTTCTTTCAAAGAAATAAGATTAGAAAAAAGAAAAACAACATTAAAATAAAAAAATAAAAAATCACAAGCTAAAATTTAAAGATTTTCTTCATGTGGTAAAAAAATAAAGATGAAATACTTTCCATCTAGAAATGATAAAACATTGTGAACTTTTAAAATGTTTGGTGGAATTTCTTTAACAGATAATGTAATTTTTTATAGAATGTTTCCAAGTTATTTTTTATGCATCAAGTATTTGAATTTTTATTATTCATTTTAGGGAACTGATTTAAAAAAAACCCCAAAAAACTCATGTCCAGTAATTATGAAATCAATGGAAAAACTTTACTTTTTACTGTTCACACTATGGCCGCATTTTTTGCCTTAAAACCTAAATTTCACAATCTGTCATCAAGTTGCCGAATTTAAAGTGTAGATTTAGGAATTTTTTATGTATCCATAATGGTCTGTTTTAGCTTTTCAAGATTGGAATATTAGGTATTACCAGTATACATCTTGCCATCATTCCCTAAAGATTT